GGATGGGGGTAAATATACACCCCCTGTATATACCGTGTATGTAATGGATGGGGGTAAATATACACCCCCTGTATATACCGTGTATGTAATGGATGGGGGTAAATATACACCCCCTGTATATACCGTGTATGTAATGGATGGGGGTAAATATACAGCCCCCTGTATATACCGTGTATGTAATGGATGGGGTAAATATACAGCCCCCCTGTATATACCGTGTATGTAATGGATGGGGTAAATATACAGCCCCCCTGTATATACCGTGTATGTAATGTATGGGGTAAATATACAGCCCCCCTGTATATACCGTGTATGTAATGTATGGGGTAAATATACAGCCCCCCTGTATATACCGTGTATGTAATGTATGGGGTAAATATACAGCCCCCCTGTATATACCGTGTATATAATGTACGGGGGGTAAATATACACTCCCTGTATTATTGGCATTTATATAGAACCAACATATTCCATAGCTCTTTAATATTATATGAGGGGGAGATTAACAATAAATTAGGCAATTCCAAAAATTTACAGGAGCAATAGGTTGAAGAGTTAAAGGACCACTACAGTGCCAGGAAAACATACTCGTTTTCCTGGCACTATAGTGCCCTAAGGGTGCCCCCACCCTCAGGGACCCCCTCCCGCCCGGCTCCGGAAAGTGGTTAAAACTTACCTTTTTCCAGCACTGGGCGGGGAGCTCTCCTCCTCTGATCCTCCTCTTCTCCTCCCCGTCGGCTGAATGCGCACGCGCGGCAAGAGCTGCACGCATTCAGCCAGTCACATAGGAAAGCATTTGTAATGCTTTCCTATGGACGCTGGCGTGCTCTCACTGTGAAAATCACAGTGAGAAGCACGCAAGCGCCTCTAGTGGCGGTCAATGAGACAGCCACTAGAGGAAATAGGGGAAGGCTTAACCCATTCACAAACATAGCAGTTTCTCTGAAACTGCTGTTTATGAAAAAAATGGGTTAACCCTAGAAGGATCTGGCACCCAGACCACTTCATTAAGCTGAAGTGGTCTGGGTGCCTAGAGTGGTCCTTTAACCCCTTAAGGACACATGACATGTGTGACATGTCATAATTCCCTTATATTCCAGAAGTTTGGTCCTTAAGGGGTTAAAATAATAAGAGTACACTGCTCAAATGAGCCTACAGTCTAGAGGAGGTTGGATATAAAATACAGTAGGACAAGAGATGGCAATCAAACAAGGTGGAAGTAAAGCAGAGCTTGAGGAGAGTGTTGGGTGCTGCCCTTTAGGAGAGAGCAAGGGACAGGTGTGTGAGATAGAGCTTACTCTGAGAGGGCATAAACTTTCCTGAAGAGATGGGTTTTAAGAAACTTCATTCAGGTATTTGTTGAGAATATGCAGGTCCAGAATCGGTCTCTAACCTCCTACAGCTTTTTTTTTTTTGTGAGTAACGGATAAGAATAGAAACAGTGTGTTCTTTCTTCTTCTGGGACCTTTATAATGACACTCTGAAGAGTTATGAAATTCGAGGACTATTCTTTTTACTATGTCTCTGGGCCACCTTATGACATGAATGCTGCGTCTAGGAGGAGACTTGTCAAATTCCATGAAGTAACCGTTTGCCACAATATTCAGGGATCCATTTGTCTTTTATTGTGTTCTCCCAGGCAGGAAAGAATAAAAGCAGGCGGTCACCTACTCCTTCTACTTGGGAATGTAAGCCATCATAATGTTCTAGAGCTCTTAGATCCAGGGGATCAGCACCATCTATTTCCTCTGGTAGAAGAGCGATCACCTCGCCCAGATTGAGATCTTCCATAATCTTGGCCTGGACGGTAAGATCTGTAGTCTTGAAAGGAAGATCCTTCTGTGAATCTTCTATCTCTGAAACTCTTTCTAGGTCTGCGATCCTGAGGTACTAAAGCCTTCCTACCTTCTGCTGCTCTCTTGATGCAGTCATCCAGTTGTTTCCCAAAAAGCATTTCTCCTTGGAATGGCTGTTTTTTAGACTAAGCATCAGCTGTCCAATTTTTTAACCAGAGATCTCTTCTGGCGGAGACCGAGAGGAACATGTTTCTGGATAGCGCCATAACCATGTCGACTGAGGCTTCTGAATAAAGTCTGATGCTAGTTTAATGTCTTGAAGACTGTTAATGGATGCTCTTTTTCTGCCTTCTCTCAGATCATCCTCTATCTTCTATTCATAATTTTAGAGCCTGAGACAAAGAGGCAAGTGCCAGCTGCAATATGGGCTTTGGCCAGGTTCAAGTTCATTATGCAATCCATAGGATCCCTTAAGGAGCCCACATTGTCTACCGGCAGTCGTACGCTTGGCCAGTCTGACTTTAGCAGTGTCTACTTTAGGAGAAACCCATGAAGCCACATCTGAGGACTGTAAAGTGTATAGGCAGGAAATCCTGCCATGCGGAGAGCATATTTTCCATTTTAATCCATTCATCTATAGGAAGAGCCTTAATAGTCTCATGGACTGGAAATTTTAGGTATTTCTTTTTTTATTTTTTGAGATCTGAGAAGAATTTAGTAGATGAAGGTTCTTATGTGGTGGGCTCTTTCAGATTCAGTGATCTTCTGACCCTGGAAATCGAGTGATCCACAATAGCTGGATCTAACTTTTGAGGGGGGGTGTTGAAATTGCTCCTCTGAAGAAAAATCCTCATGCCAATATATCGTCTGTATCTGGGCCTTTTGCGTGACTGACTGGCCTCATTAATACCCTGGGAAACCTATTGCTTGATTAAATCCATGATGCAAGAAGGATTGGAAGGGCCTGCTGCACAAAGGTGTTTCTCTTCTATTACTTTGACATTGCACGCCTCACATGCTTCTTGGGAGACTTCCTTCTTGAAGCTCTCGCTTTTCTTCCAGTTGAACTGAAACAAAAGGGAATATTAAGCATTGCTCTGTTTAGTTTATTACCATCCTTTTAAATAGGAAAAGTAGATAAATGGCTTACCTATTACTCTTATATTGTGACCGTTTATCAGAGGATGATGAATCCAAATCCATAACTGAATCCTGATGTGAAAATTAATATACCATGAAGAAAGGAAAAAACAGATCAGATACTATCCCTTTAATTACTGAGACTTTAAATACTTACAATAATGACGATGCACAAAGGATCAAATTAGGAATTCTTTGCTTAAGTAAAGCTCACGGAAAAAGTGGAGACAAAATTCCAGGATTAAGAGTCTTGGCGCTTTTAATAGGATAGGTGATGTCATAATTGGCCTTTTGCCACTGTGCATGCGCATTCGCGAACATTCGTGCATGCATTGTGTACTCTGTTCGGTTAACACATGCATAGTGGTGTGAGGCGAAAGCCCAAAAATGGTGTGACAGAACGGGGTTCTAGAAGCCCGATCGTCATTTGTTGAACAGAAACATAAGCACAGTGTGATGGTAGTCTCAATCACCAAGAACTTGAGATGGACAATTCAATTGGGTATCTGGATGATTCCTATGTTTAAGTCACCCTGTGTGCACTGTGGGTGCAGAGTGTGTGTAATGTGGTTGTTTGGGGTTAAATGTTAATGTGCTCTCCTGTCTTCCTAATGCTTGCAATCAACTTGATGACTTTGTCTGTGAAGCCTGTACAGTGCAACCTGTTGGTTGCAAGGACCTAGCAACAGCTATATGCACTACCTGAATATCAAGGCTTGCTAATTTGCATATTTGGGTAGTTTGCATATTGCCAATTCTGCAGGCAGGAGAGCTATTTTCTCTTAATTATGGTCTTTACCACTCCTTTATAAATATGTAATTATGTTATTATTAGTTCCTGTATGTTGTCTGTGATTTGACTGTATTTTTGAGTTGTCACAGTAATCTATATGTAATGTACGTATAGGCTAGTCCCAAGAAAACTTGTTTTGTATGTTCGTTCCATTTGGTACTGGGTGTCCTTTGTGCATTTTTATTTTTTTATTTTTTTTGCCGATCCCAGTGAAAGAGTCTTTGGACCGGTTTGCTGGCTGCACAATCCCTCTAGTCCTGGGATAAGTCAAGAGTTAAGCCTGAGAGTCGCAATTGCCTTTGTAAAGGTATCTTTAATTGGTGTAAGCAGAGCTGCAGCAGAAGAGGCAAAGGGGATGATACGTGCCTCGAAGGAAAGCTGCAGCCTGGTAGGGTAGAAGACCCCGGTCAAACTTCGGCGACTGGGATGCAAGCGTTTTTAGGATCCTAGGATGCGGATTGGGCGGAGGTACTTGGTCGGAGTTTAGGAACTCCATCACAAACAGATTTAGTTTGTACCAAAATGCATGAACGCTAAAACTGGCGTGAATGGTCGAGGATTATAAAAACCCCAAACATCATACTTGCATTATCAAAGCCATTCGGTTTGTTCCCAGAAATGAGGACTACAAGCAAACTACAGCAAAGCAAGTTAATTTTCTTATGCCCGAATCCAAAATGTTTGGTAGGAAGAGGGTAAGGTGTCCCAGGGATTTTGCCAAAGCTTTCTTGCTACCCCCAGGGTCACTAAAGGGGTATCCTCAGGGTTTCACCTTTGCACAGGGCTGTACCCTGAAGGCTTCCTGAGGAAGAGAGCCTAAACTCTCTTGGGACAGGGGGTAACAACCACCAGGTTAGCTAAAAAGAAAAAAACCGAAATGTTCACAATAAAATATATACGTCCTATAGGGAATAGGACGGGAATAAAAGACTGCGTGTTGGAGGGGGTACTTATACCTTTTTGTTTTTATTGGTTCTCGTCTATCAGGGGAGGAGCTAACCATTGTTTTGCTGCCATGGATATAGCAAGGAAATACGGTTTATCCTGGGAAGTAACAGCTTCTCTGTAATTGTATTTTTCTATTACTTTCAGGTTTAAAGTATAAATTGAAATGGAATATTCTGTTACTCTGTAATAACAGATCTAGTTTAACTTCTGTCCACAACTGTTCTCAGGCTGCCTGATTGGCTGAATGATGACAAACACAAACCGGAATCAGATGACCGAGAGGATCCTGGATCTGACCCTGGAGGTCAACTACCTGCTGACTGGAGAGGTGAGGGATTCTGGGAATGTCAGTGACTCGTTTCTTCTCATTAAGTTAACTTTAATCATTTTTATTCATAATTTAATGTCCCTACTAATATATACTCTTTGAATTTCTTAAGAGTGGAGATTCCGGGACGTTTCATGGTGGGGGAGAATAAATATTGCAAAATCTTATAGTATGATCCCCGTGTCCTGCGCAGATAGTTGGGTGAATTTACCGTATAATTGTGTAAATTGGTTAATCTCCGCTGGACATACACCACCAATGTGGTGCTCCAGCGGTGAAAGACCAACGCTAGTATCGAGGAGAGACTCCAGGGGCATAACCCCAAAATGCTAGTCACAATGCCAAAAGACAAGCAGCCTAATAAAAATATACTATATACATTGAATTCAAGGATTGAGATGTCCCAATAAAGAGTGAGTTTAAAAAGTCAAGTAGATACAAAAATGTTCCATGATCCCTGAGTGGTATAAAGGTATCAGCAGATCTCCCCTCTGAGCTTTATTCAGGCTGGCTCTATGGGCTTCTGCAGTGCTATCCTAGTAAGTCTGGTATCCCAACCAAAATAAGGGACAGCAAGAAATAAATAGGGCTACCACTTTAAAATATAAGTGCTTTTGCACTACTAGAAGTAATATTTAAGTTAATCCAAACTATACAAAATGGTCAAATGCTATTTTCGAGGTAGCATCGGCAAACAATTGTAATGTTTAAACAGAGTACCCCCTCAAAAAAATATATATGTTAATAAGTGGTGTATACACAGAACAATTGTCTCCAAAAAAATATAAGGTGTGTGTGTGTGTGTGTGTGTGTGTATATACACAAACTAAGCGAGACCATATAGTTGGAGAACAATTAGGAAGTATGGAGCATAGATATCATGATGCTTAGAGTGCTCAATGACATATCTATGAATAGATTATTAGATATAGAGCAGTCGGAGAGAGGAAGGTAGAGGGGACAGATAGTAGCATATACTGCATATAAATCTAGCAGTTTAATGGGTAGTCCCTCCCTTCTTAAAAATAGCCCTTAGATCGCTAGAGGGGTAGCACAATGGAACATAATGTCTACTCAAAGAAAAAAACGGTGAAACAAGCTAAGTGCCATATCGTGTTAAAACCCCTTCAGAAGTTTACCTTAATCCAGCGCTGGGCTCCCTCTACGCTGGTGAGCTCTCCTCCCCCGCCGACGTCAGCGAAGCAGATTGTGCATGCGCGGCAAGTGCCGCATGCGCATTCAAAGTGTCCAAAGGAAAGCATTTTTCAATGCTTTCCTAAGGACGCTCTGCGTAATGGAGGCAAAATGTGCCTCCAGCGTCGCAGATGCGCCTCTAGCGGCTGTCCGGAAGACAGCCTCTAGAGGCTGGATTAACCCCAAATGTAAACATAGCAGTTTCTCTGAAACTGCTATGTTTACATCTGAAGGGTTAAAAACTGAGGGACCTGGCACCCAGACGACTTCATTGAGCTGAATCACTATAGTGTCAGGGGGGGAAAAAGCGGTTTTCCTGACACTATATAATCCTTGGTGGACCATAACCCTCAAGGTCCCCCTCCCATGGCGCTGAAGGGCTTAAAACACCTTCAGCAGCTTACCTTTATCCAGCACTCCCTCAGCGCTGGTGACCTCTCCTCCCCTGCCGATGTCCGCTCCCGGGTGGAGTGGCATGCGCGGAAAATGCCGCGTGTGCATTCAAACAGTCCATAGGAAACCATTTCTCAGTGCTTTCCTATGGACACTGCACGATGGATGAGAAATTTGCATCCAGCGTTGCAGATGCGCCTCTAGTGCCTGTCAGGAACACAGCCACTAGAGGTTGGATTAACCCCTAATGTACACATGTAAAATGTTTCTCTGAAACTGCTATGTTTACATCTAAAGGGTTAAAACCTGAGGGACCTGGCACTCAGATCACTTCATTGAGCTGAAGTTGTCTGGGTGACTGTAGTGTCCCTTTAAATCTGTCAGAGATGCATTATAAACTTTTAAATAAATGGTAACTGGTCCCAAGTAGTCCACTAGGATTTACCCCAACGCCTCAGATAGATGTTGGAGATGCTTAGTTCCGAGGAGTTTTTCTGCATGTATGGCGGGAATGTCAACCTATCCAACTTATTTTGGAAAATGATATACTTAAAAATCCAAACTTTACTTATTTATTTCAACCTGAGTCTTCTATTACAATTAAATATTTATTTAAAACATTTTTGGTACAGCCTCCACTAGTGATACACATCTTGGTAGCTGCCAAGATGTTGATTGCCAGAAGCTGGAAGATGGTCAAAATTCTAATTATTTACCAAATTAAAATGGAGATGGGCATTTGTAGAACATCATATGATGTGGTTGGAATAGGTTGAGAAAACCCTTCTATGACGTTGAGTGGTAAATGTTTTCATTAGATTAACTTAGATTAAGGCCCATTTCCCATACCCATACCATCTCTACTGCAAGCCTCTACAATTGAATGCTACATCTTTAAGGTACAAATTTGGAATTCAGAAGATACTCCACCGGATTTCTTTCACCTTTGCCACTCGATTACTTATATATAATGTTTTCATTGTTATCTATAGTGTACTACTGTAGTATCTTGTACTTGCAGCTACATGCATTCATTAATAATCTGGCTGTTAGGATTTGATTGGCAAAATTGTAATTCACCACTGTTTCTTTTCCCCTCCCACTCTGTAAATACCTTGATATAACTGTATCTCTACTCCCTCCCTAGGCCCATTTCCCCTAACATCTCTACTGCAAGCCTCTGCAATTCTACTCTGCTCAACCCGCCCACCCAGGCTCCCCCTAAATTTATAGCATGCTCCACCAGCTGTTTAAAATACTCACTCCCTTACTGCTTCATTCCCTCTATATTCTACCAATAGCCATCACTTCCAAAGTTCCCCTACCACCTCTTATCTCTCTACCTTTTATATTTGCCTGTGTGTATTGTATGTTCTCTACTAATTGCACAGCGTTGCAGAATCTGTTTGCGCTTTATAAATATCAGTAATAATAATGATTTGTGGGGTCGTTTTTTTTGTGTTCGTTTTGTTTGGTGATGTCTTATTTGTTTTAATATTAATCAAAATTATGTCAATGGAAACATTGGCTTAAAGGTTTGTGCATGTCATCAAATGTTTGTATAATTGAAAATGAATAAAAATTGTGTGTGTGTGTGTGTGTGTGTGTATGTGTATATATTTTATATATATATAATAAAAATAAAAAAAAGTTAAATTCTGAGTCTAAGAGTAGTAATAAAGATGCTAGGTGCTAATATCAAAATGAAATCCGTTAAGCAGATGGAGCTGGCTACTTCCAATGGATGCTGTGACGAAGCTCCTATGCTCAGGCCGAGTATCTCTGCCAAGTATCCCTTCTCTCGTGGGACAGAGTAGCCAAAGTGATTATACTCCCTTTCCCCTAGGATAGAGCTTCTTGAGTGTTTATAGCTCTTCCCAAAATCAGCGGAGGCTTGATGAAGGGTAGAATAGGTCTGTGTTTATTAGTGTGTGTGTGTGTGTGTGTGTGTATATGTATATATACACATATATACACACATATATACACACACACACACACACACACACACACACACACACACACACACACACACACACACACACACACACACACACACACACACACACACACACACCTGTTCTACCCTTCATCAAGCCTCTGCTGATTTTGTGTGTATGTATGTATGTGTATACATATATACACATTCCCAATAGGGGTTTTTGTGAAAAACATAGCTGATTTGGCACAAAATAATTGAATTACTTAGTGGACACCAGGGCGCCTAACAATAATAACCCTAGACATACATGTCCCCCTATAGTTACATCCAGGTTTCTTACATCCCCACATAGCTCTGTTTTGGTAAAGTGACTAGATTCCAGCGCAGTTAAGTGGCCAGTTAATCCATCACAGATGACATGACATTTCTTGCATGGTGCCATTAAAGGGACACTATAGTCACTAAAACAACTTTAGCTTGAAAGTTAATTCACTTTTGTTTCTTTATGCAACCATAGCCACACCTCCCCTGGCTATGACTTACGCAGTCTGCTTAAAAACAAAATGGTTCCATTTCAAAACTGATGTAACTTGCGCTTCGAGTTTTTATCTCCTGCTCTGTAAATTGAACTTTAGTCGCACACAGGATGCTCCTGCATGGTCTAGTAAGGTTAACTGCAGGAGATAAGACATTTTTAATTAGACAGCACTTGCAATAAAGATAGTGTAAACATTAAATACCGCTTTACAGGAAATGTTAAGGAAGTCCGTTTAAGTCAAGTGCAGGGAGGTGTGGCTAGGTCTGCATAAACAAAGTGATTTAACTCCTAAATGGCAGGGAATTGAGCAGTGAGACTGCAGGAGCATGAGTTAAACACCAAAACTGTTTCATTAAGCTAAAATTGTTTTGGTGACTATAGTGTCCTTTTAACTATTGGTCTTTATTTACTTTTTCTATGAACAGTAAATTCTGACTGCCTTTAGGTAAATTCCCATTTTACACGTGGCTCTGTGTCATGGCAGGTGTGAGATACAAACCTATGCCACTATGACTAGATGTCTTGCTTACAAACACAGATTAGAGGGATTGTAAAGCTAATAGGGGTAATGTGCTACATAATTCTGGGACTTGTCGTGCAGTGATTCAACTGTTTTATGTAGGATCCTTGGTAAAACTACATAAACTCGCAAATCAAAGGGGAGGGAGGTCAAATGATTTTAGATGTATTGCAGTGTGTTTGGGATTGTGCTGTGGGTACTGTTTTAGCTTATTTTGATCTTGGGCATTTCTCTTGTTACGCAGAGATTAATTCAAATTGCTCTATTTATATAGAATTACATTGTTGTGAAGAGTCCTGGAGAGACCGCTGTGCAGAACCATGGTTTCAGTGTGTCAGACAGACCCAGCAACTCCCAGAGCCCCAGCATGGTGCCGTCACCTCATTCTCTGATACACGAGAAAAACAATGACCTGAAGATCCTAGAACTGGCCAATAAGATCATCCACCTGCTGACTGGAAAGGTGAGGATGCTGGGTGATGGTTACTGTATTATTGTGTTTCCTCCATTTATAATGTGTAGTCAGGATGGCCATCATTTACTCTTTTACAAACCAGGAAGCTGACCAGCAGTGTTTCAGCATTGTTGGTCTTTCATCAGACTATAGAAGAGATGCAAGTAGGATCCCACCTCTTAATTATGGAAAATTGAATCTTAATGGAACACTATAGTGTAGGAATGCAGACGTGCCCTAACTAGTTGGTCTCCCTCTGTGAAGAATAAAGGTGCTTTTACTTGCCTTTCCTCCTTTTCAGTGTTGGTCTCCAGTCTTCCATCCCTCCTCCTTGACGGAGATCATAAAGCATTGGAAGGCTAGTGCACATTAGCAGCAAAACACAGAGCTGCGCAAATCAGGTAGTCTCCTGTCCGTATGATGGCCATTAGAAGCAAGTTAACCATGCAGTCCAAACATTTCCATTTTGCATAGTGGCAATGTTTCATAGCTGCAGAGTTAAGGGGGGGAGGGGGGGGGAGACTTGTCGTTGAGATGAAGTTGTGTGGTTACCTATTGAATCACTTTAAATAGGTTTCTGTTATAGACCAGAGCTTCCTGGAGGCACCCTACGCCAGATAAAACGCCATTTTATCTGTAATCCACTTGTGAGGTTCAGACTTTCATGAGTATTTTATCGTTCCCTTCTAGTCCCGTTTCTCTGGGCCTATATGACTGGCTCATTCCATTATCCATGACATTTATCCTCGATTTCCACATATCATTTGCCAATCTCACTCTACCCCCAATGTCACTTGTTCCTTTCATACCCAATTTTCTTACTCTTTCCATAACCCAGTTTATCTGCTTTTCTTGTCCGTCACTCCTGACCATCGTTATTGTGCATAGCTTTTTTTAATCCCACATTCTAGATCCTGCTTCTCTCTTTAATTCACATGTAACTAACATGTTGAACATTCTAATACTATTTAACTACATGTGAATGCATGCACACAATACCTAGGAGCTGTGTAGTTCTGTTTATTTAGTAGTGTGCTAAGGTTTGAGGATGTAAATCTCTATTTTTCCGTGTAGGTGTGGGAGTATTTAGAAGGACACAAGGAAACCTATAATGATGCACTGCTGGAGACTCACCAGACTCTCAGCTCATTGGGTAAGGGAAGGTTTAGCCACCATTGTTTTGATTGTTTATGAATAGAGCCGGTCTTGAGTCCACATTTTTGCTCTGAAAAATAATAGTTGCAAATTTTAGGATAGCATTCACTTTTGAAAGGGAAATCTACTGTTGACACATTTGTTCTCATAAACCACTGAACCAGTGATCAATATGACTAATTCTCCCATCACAGGTCCGCTATCACCGAAAAGGTAAAAAAAAAAGAGAAACCTTCTCCAGATCCATCCCCTCCTCACATTATAAACGATAACACGCTCCGATTGTTCAGTGAGTGATACACCTACGCGTGTGTTGTAGAAATGAAATTTGTTTTGGGGGGTGGGGGGGTTTCTCCATGCATCCCAAGCAAGTGATCAGATGGGATATAGCAATTTAAAACTGATTAACAGTTCTTAACCCAGTGAACACACAATAATTAAATAAGTGTCATCATCCCATGTCCTCAAATACTACTTTTCAACTGTCTGTTTGACATTTTATGGAAGATATTAGTCCAGGCATAGGCAACCTTTGGAACTTCAGATATTTTGGACTACACCTCCCATGATGCTTTGCCAGCATTATGGGTGTAAGAGCATTATGGGGCATGTAGTCCACAACGTTTGGAGTGCTGAAGGTTGCCTATCCCTGCCTTCGTCTATGCTGTGAGATGGAGAAAAAAGACACGATCAAACTTTAGTCATGAGGGATCTTGATTCAAACTCCATGAATGTAATAATCACATACACCACAATTTGTGTGTTACACTGGCAGTATCGGCTGATAGACAGAGTACTAACAAGAAAGCAAACCTAGGTCAAGGGGTAATAGTCAGACGTGAAGTTGAACTGGACAGCAAACAAACCTGGACATGGGGATTCCTCGATCCCCACAAAAACTAAAAAAAGGTAGTTTTGCCCCCCAAAAAACTAGACCACTGTAAATAAACAATATACACGATGATAACATCTGTAAATAAAGGTGTGCAGGTGTGTGTGTACTATATTGAATGAATAAATGGAGCCGCTCTCATTGGTGAAGAACTTGGAATGCAGTCTCTGTTTACTTTCAATATGTCTTTTAGCAGACAGTGATCCTCAACATAACATGAAACCACCTAAGAGAGACTTAGTACGCCTGATTCATGTTAAATCCAAAAAATAGATTACAAGGCAGAAATAAAAACATTGAACTTGGTTAAAAAGATTCCAACTCCTATATGATCATTATTACATATGGAAAAAATAGAAGGTAAAGAAGCAAGTGACGCGTCCCCCACCTTTTGTACAAGTGGTAGGGAAGATGTTAAAAATTTATAGATGACTAAGGCCTTTAACGGACCATTAAATAAAACACAATCACTGCAAGACTCCAGACTGTTGGAGACTAAGTTGGCAATCGAGTCTGTGCCAAGACTTTTCTACAAAATTAAGACAAAGTAATAAGATAAAATATATATATTTTGTTTTTAAATTTTTTTTTTTTTTCCCCCTATTAGCTGATTCCATGAACACACCTGAAGCTGAAGGGTTTAACATCCTGACTATCAAAGAAGATGAACAAACAATTAAACAAGAAATAAAATGCATTACAATAAATAAAAGGGGACGAAAGAGGAAACCTTTGAGATATGAGAGAACGTTATATGAAGAAATAGACCTAACAGATGCTGGCGTTGATAAAAACGTTCTACAAACTGAGTATACCTCTACTCCTTTTCAGAAGGAATCCATCTCCTCTATACAAGAAAACCATATAGGCATTTATTTACCCACAGAAAATACACAGACAGAATGTTCGTCTACTCATATTGCTGCGTGTGAAGAAAGTACTGAGCTTGGTTTTCACACAGAATACATGTCTGTTCATATTAAAGAGGAATCGCCCTCGTATGAAGAAGACCTTTTCACAGGTAGTGACACTCATACACCAACACTACCTACACAGTTAGAATATACACCTACTCATATCAAGGATGAACCAATTTTTTGTAACCCTGAAAATCTGTTCGAGACTGACATTTATACACCTCCAGAATATGCCTCTACGTTTAAGGAGAAATCAACCACGAATGAGGAAAGAAATGTCTCCGACCCACCCGTTTCAACCCCCACCTGTAAATTTGAGAGCCAACAGAAATGGAATAGTAACACACAGCTGGGAGAAAGCATAGAAATATTAAATCAACGTAAACACACAGTAGACCAGCTGTATAACAGTTTTGAGATAAATAAGGCTTCTGATACCTATTCTGATTTTGATAAAGATCAGAAAGCCCATGATGGAAAGAAAGTGACCTGTTCTGAATGTGGGAAAGTTTTTGCCAGTAAGGTACATTTCTTTGGCCATCAATGTTTATATCTGAAATCACGGTTTACCAGAAGGAACAGGATTTGCCAAGGAGAGAATTCGCTTTCGTGCTCATGTGGGAAATGTTTAAAGACAAAATATTTTTTTAGACATCAGAATGTGCATGCTGGTGAAAAGCCATTTTCTTGTTCCCACTGTGGGAAATGTTTTAAACTGAAGGCAACTCTTAAATCTCACGAGAGAATTCACACTGGAGAAAAACCATTTCCTTGTGCAGAGTGTGGGAAATGTTTCAGCCAGAGATCTGGTCGTAATACACATCAGAAGATTCATACAGGAGAGAAACCCTTCTCCTGCTCTGTATGTGGGAAATCGTTTAGGCACAAGGCCTATCTTATCACACATGAGAGGATTCATACAGGAGAGAAACCATTTTCTTGTTTTGAATGTGGCAAATGTTTTATAGAAAAACCAAGACTTCTTGCACACCAAAGGATTCACACAGGAGAGAAACCATTTGTTTGTTCTGAATGTGGGAGATCTTTTACAAATTATTCAAATCTCCTCGCACATAAAAAGATTCACAAAGGGGAAAAACCATATTCTTGTTCTGAATGTGGAAAATGTTTTAGTAAGAGGGTATACCTTACCTCTCACCAAATACAAGGCTGTTCAAGTACATCTGATATACATTTCTAAAGCCCAAGGAAAGGGGCATGCAGAATATCCTGGGAAGACACCACAAAGGGATGTATGTTTGCAATACCACCAATGCTTTCAGCAACACAGTAAACTCCTTAGTAAGAGTTTAGTGTTTTTTTTGGAAATGTCATTAACCGAAAGATAACAGTTCCTATTTTAGGAACATATAACCCACTTTTGTGCAAGTACCAATCACTTGAGCAGGTATTCTTACCCATGCAGAAGGGAATATTAGCAGCTACACTAAATTCCTGCACACAAACATCCCAAAATAATCACTAAAAGTATTCTAACATACTGACTAAACTTGTTCTCGAAATGCCTAGACCACAAATGATTATTGATGCAATCGCTCTAGTTTAGTGAACTACCAGTATTCTATACACAAATTTGTAAGATGTTCCCACCATAGCAGATGAATACAATTCGATATCACCTCTAGGTTTCATTGCCCAAAGCAGAATTGTACCATAGTATATTTTTCTTTGGGGCAGCACTGTCACCAGTTGGGGACTTTGCCAAATTTGGCAAAGTCCCCTGATGGTGACATCACCGTTGTGGGTCTAGTGTCTGAACGGGCACTGTTATCTTGATACGGGGGTCCTCTTTGGAGCTGGTCACTGCTGTACTCTTGCGCATACATGAGTACAGCATTTAAGCCCAATGGCGGATCGTACGTAAATCCATAGCATTTTTTTTTTTTGCGATTTCTTCTATTTCCCCTTTTTTTCTATAGAACGTTTAAAAGAAAAACAGGATTTTGTTAAAATAACAAGAACAAAATAGAAATATTAAATACTATTACAGATTTGTTGTTGTAATAAACATTAGTTGAGAATTCTTTGTGTCCAGATTCCTTATTTTGTACGCATAGTGTGTATATCTCTCATACGGATTTATTAAGATGCTGAAGCTGTATATTCATCTATCAGATGCCTAAATTAGGTAAACTTAATAATAAAAACCCACCAAATACAACTTAGCACAATATTTAAGGAATTGCAAAAATACTAATTAGTCTCTTCAGGTAACGTGATTCTTAACCAGACAAAGGCAGAACTTAATAAATGTTTATTATAAGCAAAAAAATAGTCACAGTGCATACACAAATATGATAAATTATTTACACCAACAACTGATAAAAACAAAAAGGATAAAATAACTGAAAATCTAAGTGAGTAATTAGTACTTTTAAGTAAAACTTCTGCCATGGGGATCTCTGGTAAGGAAGGATGATGGTGACTCACTCAAAATTAGATCTTGGCCCCCAAGCAAGTACACCCACACCCTTCCAAATCATTGGATATATATACCCCGTGGAGTTAAGGCATACCTATAGAAATAAGTGACCACCTC